GGTGAAAGTGCTGGGAGCACCAAAAACTATCCCTCTCATATTCTAAACTGAAATATTAATTCAAATAATTTAAATATAGTGTGCAATTCTCTAAGAACAAAACCTTAATATCCACATAAAGCCAAGAATATAGTATCATCACTGTGAGAAGTGTAGAGTTTTACATGCCTGCAGAGAGGTATTGCATGTTTCCAGTTAATCCTATATAAGCAAGCAACAGGTGGAGCTGTACACAGGTCAAAAGCCCCTTGGTGGGGCCAAGTAATGCCAGTAAGAATTTTTTGGTATTAAATTGTCAAAAGAGTTTTCCCACAATGTCCTAACGGTAAGCTTAACTATTTTATCCTATTTATTACATTCACATTAATAATTAGGATTCATTTATGTCCTTCATGTTAATAATTGTTTGTTCCCTTCATATAAAAAATCAACTATCTCCTGGTAGCATTGTTTACCATGAATAAAAGTCAATCTGTTCTCTAAAGTCATGCCCAGGGACCTTGCTAGTCATGAGTCACTCTTATCCAAATTTCAAAGACCATTTTTATGATGTATAGATCATAATAATTGCTTACACTTACAGCACTTTTCTGGAGACTCTACTCAAAGCACATTACAGGTAATGGGGACTCCCATCCAATATGTAGATACAACTCTCTTGTGTACATTTGATGTAGTTTGCTTTTTTTAACCATTTTTTGTGCTTTGCCTGGCTATGGCATAGAGCAAATATGTTTTAAGTGGTTTTGTTACAGTACTATAAGCAGATTTTTAGGCATAGGATGTACAGAGTCAACTTGTGCCAGTCTTGGTTTGAAGCACTATATTGTTGCAGCAGCTCATCTGATATGCCACTGTGTCTCTGCACATTTCCCCTGTCAGACCTTCAGATGTTCCTTTACATTGTAAACTAACAGTTAACCAGCAAATCAAAATAACTCAGTTTGTCAGATCTGGACAATATAATGGCCTGAAGCTTCTCAGACCAAAGTGTCTTATTTTAACACTAGGAAATTGCTTCCACAAATCTCCCGCCTGACAGTTCATCCACTTTAAAAAAAGGCTCTACCTTTTTAAAATGCATTCTTCTGAGAAAATGCTGTACAGCACACTAAACATTTAATATCACAGCTTTTCTTACAAAAAAATCTAAACCAAAAAAGTAAAATATAAAAAATTCAAAGCAAGCTCTTTGATTTCTGTCTCCATCCACAGCTTTGAACTATTTTGCGGGTGATAAACTCTATGCTGCTGATCTCCCAAGGATTGACATTCATTCATGGCAGTCATTGTGTAAAGGTTTTACACACGTTCCAGAAAGAGATTTTTTTATTTTCAGTGTATGCCTTTGGAGAAACTTATTTACGGCTATATTTCAGTAAAACGTGCTTGCTTTAAATTAAAGTGCAACCACCAGATGTAGACATACCTGACATACTGTGCTGCAAAACCTTTGACTCTGTACATATACATACATTTATAAAAAAAAGTACTTTACACAATAGAAAGTAACAGTGAAAAGTACAATGCAAATACAATAGAATTACAAGGGAAAACAACTTTTTTACACGCTTGTACTGGACAAAGGCATTTAAAATTTGACCCTCCTCACTGCATACAACTTACCTTTCAAGTTAAAGGATTATAAAACTGGTGGCTTTTTAAAACATTTGTTTCCAAAACACTCAAAGCCAAACAAGGCCTTCAGATCCTGAGAGGAATCCATGTTCACAATCTGACACAGGTGAAACAAGAGATGGTTGACACAGCTCACAAAGCATCTCATGGGCAATTCCAGTAAGTTAATTAGACGCTTTCTCTTGTAGCCCTGGGTTTCACTCGAAGTGAGGTTTGATTGCTGAAGGAAAGAGGTGTGCTTGGTGAATCACAGAAAGGGTGGGGCTATGCCCAGAGGTCTTCTGTTCTTCCAAACTTATAGATGAGAGTGCTGGAAAAGAGACGATCTGTCATTGATCAGTTGACTGACATTTGTTTTTGGACAGTGCTTTCCTCAGTGCAACCGCCACACAGTGCTCTGATGAATTAGTAAAACCTCAAACAATACACAAGAATACATATGTAAATATTAAAAATAAATTAAATGTACTCTAAAACAAAAAATAGGTTAGTATGATTTTAAATGGAAACAAAGTCTAAAAGATCTCAATGCTTTTGAAAGCCATTAAATGCTATTTAAATTTCTGTTTAGGAGGGATGAAACTGAAAATTACAAGACATTGCATTTTTTGAATGAATTACAAACACACCAGCACTACTAATGACACACGAGGACGGAAAGAAGCAGACAGGGGCACTAGAAAACCATGAACCAGCTGCAGGAACAGAACTAAAAAACAGTTAACCAGCAGCAGAAAGCAGTGAAAACAGCACCACATCTCACCTGAAGAATATCAGTGCGTTCTGAAAAAACACAGCGAGTCCAGGGTACACCTCTTTTTCTGCAATGAGAGACAAACCACACATTAATCTCAAAGCAGTCTGACTAGGATTTAGGGGGAAATGCCTTGTGCAGAAGTTGCAGAACCTGAAAGCTTCATCACATGTCCACTGGTTAAAGCATAATACAAGTAAGCCAGTGCTTTCCAATTCTATCCCGGGCCTCTTCTGCAAGTCTAGTTTCTTGCAACTTTTACATGAGAACTTTAAAATCATACCCCGAATATACCCCAATCTGTCCTATAAGAGTAAAGTGTGTGCAGTTTTTATAGACAGAGTGAAGGTATGTTAAAGAAGAATAGTGGCAGTTATTGTAGAGGATTTCCTCACTTGGACACATTAAAGCTGTTATGCCCCTTACAGGTGACATCTTTAGTTCAACATACCCTACCATGAAAACAAAGCAAAACAGACTAATGCAATCAAGTGATATGAAAGGCAAGAGAAAATGCATGTCTCCTGAAAGATTAATTGGACAGGAAGAAGCACTGAAGCTCTCCCTGGGGCTCTGATATAAAAAAACAGATTAATCATATGTTCATTTAAATTTCCATAGCAAAGTGATTGTTTTCACTGCACCAAAGAAAGGGCAGGCTGTCTGCCACGGTGTGATAAGCGTGGCCACTCAAAGACTTGTATTGCTGGGGCCAAGTGGGCTGGAGCAGTGTTGCTGGCCCCAGGCAATACCCTATCTGCTGCCAGGCTCTGTGGAACAGGGACGCAGAGTTGGGGGGGGACTACAGTGGCTCAAGGGCCTGCCCCTTTGCCCCCATTGGCCCAAGTCCCCCTTTTTGCTTGTAGAAAAAAAGTCCAACATTTTTTTTCTGCCACATGAAGGTTCTGCTTCTGTATTTAGTATGAATTTCCCATACGGAAAAAAAAATTGGACCTAATTGATCTCATCCATGCATGCCTTCTGTCCGTTGTAAAAAGCGGAGAAAAAAGCAGCGATAGGCAACGTAGGCTACTACACCTGTGGAAGCCGTGTTAAACATTTTTGAACGGTGAGAAGATACACAAATATTTCAGTAGGACTGTTCAGAGGTAACATACCAAGGGTGTCATATTGAGCACTTATTGTTTAAGGAAGATTATTTTCATTCACCTATTCTAAGTTTGCAGACTGACGAACTTGCCATGTTATTGTCTGCATGGCTACTTAGCTAGCTTGAGACTTCTTTAAGAAAATTTAGTTAACTGAGTAGACAAAGCAGTCTTTTGTATATGATATAGACAGCTAACATACATATTCTTTGTTGTATATATATATATGGTTCAGTCACAGAAACAGGAGAGTATGAATTCAGAAAAAAGGAGAAAAAAAAAGAGAAAGAATTAAGGGAGTCAGCTAAAGAGAGTACATTGCTTCATAACTAGGTCACAATTGGGGGAAGACAAACAGGTAAATGGTCACCAAAAAAGCCACTTCCTTAGGCTACATTCTACATACGCCTCAATAACAGCCAGTAATACTACTACACTACTACTACTACTAATAATAATAATAATAAAGTTTGGGTCACATCCAAACGTCCCGTAAAATTAAACAACACAGAAATACAGCAGGCACTGATTTGTATCCAGGATACTCTAATGTAACAAATCCTGCCCAGGAAAGTGTCATTTCTGCCCTTTTGAGCCACTGCCCACCAAAAGGTCTCTGCACGTCTCTGCTGTGGAGCTCTCTGCATTACAGTGAATGGCTGAGATAGTGGACATCTCACTACACGCTCCCCGGTGTAGTGTTTCGAGGCGGTGTAGGGCTCGAGTTCTGGCAATTTCAGATTGACAGGGTGTAAAACAAAAACTAACAAAATGGGAACTTCAGACTTAAACCTATCAAGCCACCCTGCTTCTTCCAGTTATTTTGTTGATTTGACTCAAGGATCAAGTTGCAGATAAGAATCAGATTACCCTGGATTAATTTCCCTGATTCAGCAGTTCTTTTTTAAATATTTAAATAAAATACTTGTTTAATAATAAATACACAGACTATTAAATAGAAATAGATCCAATGTGTGCCTGCAAAATGTTTTTAGTTTTATGTTAAGACAGACAAAAACTTTACTTAGACATCTGTTCTGAGCTCCACAGCAAAAAGAACTCACGTACAATACAGTATGTAGGACTGGCTATATTTTAGTATCTTATCAAGTGGAAAAGAACAATCCTCACATTGAGATCAAAATTTTTCAAGTTTCCAGACAGCCTAGTGTCAGACTGGTGGAAAATGAAATCTAACACCTAATTAAAAGGACACTTACTCTGAACAACGTATGCTCCAAAGAGAATCCACATGGAGGCAATGAGAGACCCAAACATCATCATGAAACCAATGAACAGCCAGATTCTTGCCCCTAGACAAAAAAAAAAATCTGGTTTCAGATTAATCCTTAAAAAATAAGATAAAAACACCAGATTTTTTTTCTTGACAATAAACAATAGTGTAATTTTATAAATGTGCACTTACATTTGGTTCAGACATCAAGAAACTCTAGGACACCTGACAAACCCACTGATACTGTCGTGCTAGTAATTTCACCACAGAAAGCCCAAGGTGTGAAGACTAAACCACAAAACGCTGAACTACTGTATCTTCAAGGACTACAGAGACAGCCTGTCATTAACCTTAAAAAATGGAGTCTATCTACTTCACTTACTTATTAGTATAACTACCCCCTGCCTTTTGTTTGCTTTATGAAATTCTTAGGATCAAAGTTTAATGATTAAAATAAATGTAGAGGTGAAGTGCAAGTGTTCAACCTGTACCACGGCCTACTATTTTAAAATGAAAAAATGCAATGGCTGATACACATTGTTCTTAGAGTACTTGGGAATTAACCCTTATTATACATTTACTATATAATATGTATATAATATATAATATAAAAATTTAATATGTAATAGTATTTTCTATTAACAGCCACTTGTATTTGTTCCATGAGCACAAAACACAAACCTCGTAGCCTGTAAACACATCACATCATGCTTTGTCAAATGTGTTACATTACAATTTCCATCAGCACACTATTAAGAAGTCCAGTGCTGACCTCAATCACACACAACACACATTATGCCTTAGGCAGAACCTGACAAAAATATCTACGTTTTTCAGGAGAGAGCTTCAACAAGGAACAGCCAGTGGTAAATTACACTCCATCCTGTCACAGCTTGCAGGCTGTTTCTTACCTGTTCTGCCGAAGCAGCCTTCACCATAGCTGTCCCCTCTCACCTGGCCATTGGACACTGCATTAATCCTGGAGAGACAAGTACTGTATGTTCAATAGGATGAAAAAATGCAACAGTGTTTAAGAAAATGTAAGATTTATGTTAAGAATGTAGATTTATGTTCCTTCAGATGATAAACCTTTTTTTCCTATCAAGATATAATATATATTATAATAATTATTTTACCCTACTGAGCTATTCTATATAATGAAGTTTAAGTAGGTAGCTGTGCCAGCATGCATAGGCTGCAAAGGAACGGGTAAAGGTTTATTCCATGCTGAAAGGAAAAGAAAAGAGACACTATGTTTTGGCTGTGGAGCCTTCTTCAGCTGAATGTTGCGTCTCTTTTCTTTCCCTTTCAGCTTGGAACAAACCTTTACCTGTTCCTGTTTTACATAATGCATTGGCCCAGACTTCATTAAATGAGTTTATCACCAGTCAGAAGCATCTTTAGTGACCCTGACCAAAAGGTGTATAGCTGTACTTTAAAACCTTTCAACCTGTACAGGGGCACCAAGCAAGGGTGTCCCCTATCACCTGTCCCCTACTTTCAATGGCACAAACCAGCACTAATGGAGCACTAATGAGGAAAGTGGGCTTCGCTGTTTGTGCAGTTTGTCGGAGGCCAAATATCTGATTTGGAGAGCGTTCCAATCTCTCCTTGGGGTCAGTTCTCTTTAATTCTATACATCTTCTTGAATACACCTTCAAGAAGAAGATACATCTTGAATACATCTTCTTGAATAAAGTAAACTTTATGGATGATTCCAATATATGGAGTTGGTTAACACTTTATTACCACTACTGTATACAGTGGATATAAAAAGTCTACACACCGTAATTGAAATTGCAGGCTTTTGTGATGTAAAGCCAGAAATCAAGAGAAATCATGTCAGACATTTTTCCATTTTTAATGTGACCTTGCTAATAACTACATAATTATTAGGAAAAATAATTGAACTTAAAAAACCTACAACACCCTGGTTGCATAAGTGTGCTCATCCCCACCCCAAACAATACTTTGTGGAAGCACCTTTTGCATTTATTACAGCAGTAAGTCTTTGTGAATAAGTCTCTATCAACTTTGGACACCTGGACTTTGCAATTTTATCCCACTCTTCCTTGCAAAAAAGTTCAAACTCCTTCATATTGCCAGGGGATCTCCTGTGCACAGCCCTCTTTAGGTCATACCACAGGTTTTCTATGGGATTGAGGTCTGGGCTCTGACTGGGCCATTCCAAGACTTTGATCTTCCTTTTCTGAAGCCATTCCTTGGTTGTCTTGGATGTGTGCTTTGGGTCGTTATCATGTTGGAAGGTGAAATTCCTCTTCGTCTTCAGCTTCAGCTTTCTGACAGAGGACAGCAGGTTTTGTATGAAAATATCTTGATATTTGGAGCTTGTCATTATCCCATCTATCTTGACTAGAGCCCCTGTCTCAGCTGAAGAGAAGCAGACCCAAAGCATGATGCTGCCACCACCATGCTTCACAGTAGGTATGGTGTTCTTTGGATGATGAGCTGTTTTGTCTTTGAACCAAATAAATCTTTTAGAATTAAGGCCAAAAAGGTGAACCTTTGTCTCATCTGAACCATAAAACATTTTCCCACATGGTATAGGGTGACTGAATGCATTTTTTTTGCTAAATTTAAATGGGCTTGGATGTTTTTTTTTGTGAGAAATGGCTTCTGTCTTGCCACCCTACCCCATAGCCCAGACGTGAAGAATCCGGGAGATTGTTGTCACATGCAAAGAGTGCAGTCCAGTCCAGCATTCCAGTCCATAAATCCCTGCAGCTTCTTTAATGTTGCTGTAGGCCTCTTGGTAGCCTCCCTGATAAGTTTTCTCCTTGTCCTGTCATCAACTTTGGAGGGTCGTCCTGATCTTGGCAATGTCCCTGTGGTGCCACATTTTTTCCACTTATTGAAGATAGTCTTCACAGTGCTGCATGGTACATCCAATGTCTTTGATATTCTTTTATACTCCTCTCCTGATTGGTACCTTTCAACAATAAGATCCCGTAGATCACAAAAACCTGAAATTTCAATAAGGGTGTGTAGACTTTTTATATCCACTGTATATCAACTTCATACCAAATGAAAAACTGTGCCTAACATGAGAATATTGATACAGTAACTATTATCTGCACCATATTTTTTTAGTCATTTGTAATTTAGGAATCTGATTTCTAATTTATTATTGATTAATGGTCACCTCAGTCTTACCCATCTGCTTTGCATGCACGTAAATATGCATGCACGTAACATTTTCATCTCTATAAAAGTGTTATAACTTTTTACTTGAACAATCTGGAAGAGTTTTGTAACAGTTGCTTGTTTTTTTAACCCAATACATTTCAAATCATAAAAGGAACAAGAAAAAACACTCATATAATAAAGAAAACCCCAATAAAACCTCTAGTTTTTTACATTCTGATTTACTCCTAGAGTAACAGTTAGCCCTCATCTCTGTCTTCAACTCAGCAAGTTCAGTCCATCTGGAATGATCTGCAAGTTCACTACTTCTCCTGGGCAATATTTCAAGAACTGTGACGGCATCTCTTTAGAGCACTGGTGGCGAAAACATGCCAACTGAACAAACGGTTGGCAACTCTTCACACCGTGCATTGCGAACAAGCAGTGCTAAATCCTCAGCTCACTCACATGAAGAAGGCAATGGTGGAGAAGACGCCGCAGGTGTGGAAGGCGTGGTTCAGCTTCTCGGGGTCGTGATACACCACAGCCGCATCGATCATGATCCACCAGCCTGTGAAGAACTGTGGGGGCCAGAGACAAGACCGAGGACTGATGAGAATAAGGTCAACCACCCCTCAAACCCAAGATCACCATCAACACAATATCATCCTGTCATGACAAAATTCTTGCACATTAATGTTGAGGCACTAGGATGTGCTGTCAACAAGATCCCATTTACACAGAGCAAATATATCAATAAAACACAAAGCATGTTATGCAGTAAATGCTTTTTTTAAATGAAATATTGTAAAACATGTAAAACTGGGCTACATTAAAACCTTTTTCTTCTGCTCTTCCAGTATCAAATTTTGTCTTTCCACAAGGCATCACAAGAAAACCAAATAGTTGTCAGTACCTTTCTCTGTGCTGTATTACTCATAGTATTTTTCTAGTCACAGTGCTTACTAAGCAAATTTACCTTCTTGGACCTTAAAAGAAACAGTGTTTTCTTAAAAAATAGTTTCAACTCTTGAATATAATGAACTCTTGAACAATAAGTTTGAAATTAGCATTAAACCTATCTGAGAAAGTGAATTTTCATTTAGTTTATTGCTTCAAAGGGATATCTACAGTATACAGTATTAAGAATGTTTTTCACAGTTTCATTCCCATGTGTACAGTGTCCTGTAATTTGTTTTTTTATCCCTTGGCAATCTCACATTTTTTTGTTCAATTAGTTTATTGGATTTTCAGAGAAGACAAAAGACTATTACATGGTACCATAAACAATAACAAATAAATGCGAACAGTCATCACGCTATGGCAGACTTGGCACCTTAACAGCCTGTATAAATCCAATATTAATATAATAAGGGGATGAAAAGAGAAAAAAGGAAACCAGAGGGGTAAAAGAGAAAATACAAGTAAAAAGAGAAGAAAAAAAGAGTGAAATTTGTGTAAAGCCGGTTCGTACAACCTGTATGTCCACTGTTCGTTACAGTACCATTTTAAACTATTCTGCAACATATTAGAAACGTGATCACAGAGCACGTCATCCTACAAGCTCTCTCTGATCACTTTGAGACATTTTGATACAGAGTTTCTATTCGTGCTTTACACAAATAGAAACTATAAAAAACAAAATAAAATACAAATTAATTAAAAGAATATCATAAAAGAAATAATTAAAAACAATAAAAGTATGCAAAAGCAAAGGAAAATAAAACAGTTTTTAACTAAGATTTAAAAATGGCGAAGGTTGGGGCATATCTAAGATCCTTCAGGAGCTGCTTCCAGCTGTGAGCAGCGTAATGGCTAAATGCCATAGTTTCAACTCGAGGCACCAAAGCCTTCTTTGCATGTCAAGGCTCCACAGCCGAAACCTTGTGGTGTTTCTTTTCTTTTCATCATGGAATAAACCTTTACTTGTTCTTTTGCAGCCAATGCATACTGATACAGCTGTATACACAGCCACATACGCAGCCTTCAGTTTCATTTCTGCATATGTGGCTGTTCGTATATAAAAAACATGCACATTAAAGACTAAACTACATTTTCACAGTTGATTTTTGTTTGTTAAAGCTGATTCTGTAGGGTCTTTCACCATACAGCTAGAGTCAATATGCTACTGACAGCAACACAAAACAGGAGGAACTGGCACTACAAGCAACACAATGACTCCCATTTGTCATTGTTAAAAGCTGGTTTGCGGTGCTTCTGTTTCTGAAATATAAGTCTTTTTGGGGGACGACATCGCATAGCCCCCTCGAAAACTGCACAAGAGAATCAAACTGGTCTTATTCCTCTGCACCATGTTTGTGTGTTTGAACAAGTATTTGAATGCTGCTTTGTATTCTGAGACATCAGTTTTTTTTTTGGAGTGACGTCAACCACAAAATTCCCCATTTTAATATGTACTGTACAATGTATTTATGTTTCCTGTTTGTTTCATATAATGTGTGCTTCAAAGAAGTAGTTGGCACCACCAACTGATGCAAAATGCAATGGGGATATTATATAATGGAGATAGAACAGAGAGATAACAGCTGAGTGATAAGCAATGTATCCTCAATCCACCCAAGAATCAATGATCTACAGTACAAGTTCTAATAGTACAGAAACATAACAGCACAATACAGCTAATCTTATTTTGATCTTCAATTTCAACTGGAATTTCATAAAATCAGAGGGATTTCCTGGTTTTGTGAATCATGCAAATCAGATGGCTACACTCTGTTTAAATACACGCCTCTTTTGTTAAAAGGGGGCGTGAAATTACAGTAACACCAAGCAATCCATGTTGTATTAGAAAGAACTGTCAATTTAACAAAGAATCAAGATACACATGCATAACAAGTACACACAAATATTACAAACTATAACATTACATAACTGTCACAATTCCTTTCAATTAACATCTGCTTTAACCAAAAAATAGAAAAAGTTAAGTCTCAATTTTCATTCAGAACTGTTAAAGTTTTACCATGTACAGTGTTGTTTTGCTCACTTATTTTAAAATACAGTTCACTTCGTACACACCATAGTGGTGCCAGTATGAGGATGGGCATACTGTATACTGTATTACAATATCTGTTACTTTTCTATGTTTCTGTATTAGTGATGTGAATAAGTGATACCCAGGAAACCAAAATAAAACACTGGTCCTTTAATCTAAGAAGTTAAATTAATTTGTTGATTTTAATTTGATTAATTATACAATTAGCATACAAAGCAAGAAAGGAACTGAGGTGTTTACTGAGTAGTATTAAGTCTAAGACACATTAATAATGATTGGGAATCATCTGGTTTACTTTAAGTATGGGAACAGAATAAAAAGATGGGACAAAAAGACGAAAACAGGAGAGGAGAGAGGAGATGGGATGGACAGAAAGATACAAGGAGAAAGAAGATACGAAACCAGGTGGGAGGTTCTTGTTCCAATCAGGCTTTAAAATGAGATTTACTAGTTAAGTACGTATTTGAACCTTGTTAAAAAATATTGCGATTCTGTTGATTTAGGAAACTAATTTCCTTTATGAACAATCCCTAGGTTAAAAACGTTATTCCTGATTAGTGGATGTATTTTTTTAATAGTGATCCCGATTTATAAAGATTTAATTCTAATTCATATTCTTCAAAAGGCAGAATAATTTCTTGTAAGCCTGTGTAGGCGTCAAATAGGACTTGAATACTTGGTAACAGTCTGCACTTTTTCCTGGTTGGTCAGGATGTAGGCCTTTGGTGTTTAGGTGTTTTTAAGTGCTATTTTTATTAATTAATAATTGTTTATCTAGGTTTTCCAAATTTAAAATTATTTTCACCAAATCAGTGACAAAAACCGAAAATCTTAAGTGCCTCTAATTATATCAACCGCTTGAGTAAATTCTTGGCATAACCTTTCCAATTTGGGGGGAATTATTTTATTATAATGCTCATTCTATTATTGGTATTTTCCCATTTTTCTTAACCCATATTTGTTACAACATTTATGCTGATATTGAAAAACAATGTTTCTTTACTGTTATTTTATTTCTACATATTCCTTTTTAAAACCAGTGAGAAGGAAGAAAATCCTGCATTGTTTCAACAGCGCTAAAAAAAAAAGTGGTCAAGGTTTTCCTACTGTATGGAACAACACCAAAGGGCCAGTTATTGCCCATCTTAAATGTGTCTTACTTTCCTTCAAGTCTAAAAAGAAATTAAATCAAAATTACTCAAGACCTGTGGTAATCTCATGTCAGTCTCAAGATCAGGGTTGAAATATTCCCTGAGTATTATTTCATTCTCTGTTCTGTTTTCAGTTGCCAAAATTCAATCTGTCATCCTTTCTGAAAGCCAAAATACAGTTACTCATGTAAAACATGTTGAAACAAGAAGGATCAGATAAGTTACTGGCAGCAACTAATGTGGTCTACAGAGTGTGTCACTCTCTGTTACTGTAACTTCACGCCTCCTTTTATCAAAAGGGGCGTGTATTTTGACAGAGTACAGCCATCTAATATGCACGATTCACAAAACCAGGAAGCCACCCTGATTACCTGAAATTCCAGATGAACTTGAAGATCAAGATAAGACTGTACTGTGGGCGGATATAAAGCATTCACCCACTAGAATGTGGAAGATGTTATGAAGTTATCAGAGTATAAACGTTTAATAATTAAACAGTCCTAACTCGCCATATACAGGAACACAGAATAGGGAAAAAATGTTTTCTTCTTCTCTGCCAATACTTAAACCAGCTATGTGCTATTACCTAAAAAAAAATGGGGCTTACAGACAACAGAAGGTCCAGTTATGCATTATGGTTAGGGACCACTAAAGTTCAAAACATAGTGAAACCACTTACTCTGGGGAGTATTTCCACATGGGAATAATGTAAAATAGGGGTGTTAGAGACAGGAAGAACATACACTTCACCTATGCGACTTAATGCTGGGAAATTTCTCCCTTTAGAAACAATGGATTTTTGGGGGGATAACTACTGTTCTGTCTTTTATATACAGTTCTACTGTATATGTAACATTATATGCATACAGTTTTTCAATAAAACTTCTGATTTTAAGGACCTTTAAACCATTTGTACTTAAGAAAACTAATTGAAAACCATTTCCATCATGTATAGTAAAGTATGTGACAATTTGAAAACATTTTTGTGTAATCTATTATAATTTAGGTATAATTTGATCCCACAAACCATTTTCAAGATGCAGGATATAATTATAAACTCATTTTACTTAACCAAACTCTAACTGAGTTCTTGAATAAGGTTAAGCATTGTGTTATGATCCTCAAAAACTATTATAGCACCGTGAACCCCTTTGATTGGGAAACTTCCATCGTCGTCACATTCATCATCCAATATTTGTCTACCTCCGCAATTTCATAATTTCTCAAGGGCATAGGGAACAGAATGTTCTTAACTCTACAACAACCCTACCACATCTTCATCTACATCAGGGATCAGCAACCTATAACATGCTATTCTATGAAAGCTCTGAAAAAATAAAAATAAAAAAGCGATTGACTTGGTTTATTTACTTTTTTATCTTTTTAACGGAGCTAGCCTATTGTTTTCGCAGGA